AAGACGGGTATTAAAGCTCAAAGACAAACCTTCCCCGATATCCCAAACCACGAGTCGGAATTTCCTGTAGGGTGAATGAAGGAATGCTTTATTGAACACAACTCAACTTATATAGCACATGTTGGCAGTAATCCCTGCCCCCTCCATCCCCACCAGACAGTCTGGACCTAGTTCCCCACCCACACCCAAAACTCTACAGTACAATACAGCAGTAATCAGCACAATATGAAATCTAGATAAGTGAAAGGCTACAAGTCCCCATTACCCAAGCAAACTGTAGAATGCCTGTCTACACAACAGCTGCTAAACATATACACTTTTTTTTTTAAAAAGGTAGAACAGGAATGCCACTTAACAAGGGGATAAAACTGGAATGGAAAGGGCAAAATGTTATCACAAAGGGACAATTCTTCACAGATGGCCATACAGGTTGGGATAAGGTGTTCCAGAGATTGAGAGAGGGCTCCAAAGAAGCCCTGGAGGTGAGCAGGAGTGGAGGTGACAAGGGAAGTGGAGAGCAGGTGGACCTGGAAGGAAATGGGAGAGAGGATGGTTTAGGTGATGTTTTGAGAAGAGGATGGAGTTGTAGCTCAGGACAGAGCTGTGGATGGCTTTGTATGTTATTGGTATTTCGAATTTTCAAATATTCGTTGGGCGACCTAAAGTCAGTGGATAGACTGGCAGAGAGGGATGGTGGACACAGGATGGTTGAGTCATGATAGACCGAAGAGGGAATAGTCTGTGTAAAGGTAGACCAATGAGGATGAATGACACCAACATTGGGGCACTATTCCTCCCAATGACTAAGGACGATGAGGCACAATTTCTCTCACTGACACCAGAGATGGGGCATTGCTCTTTTTGGCGTTGAGACCTTTTCTACTCCTGATCTCCGCAGTCTGGCGGACACTAAACTGGCCCCTTGTTTAGAAAGTTTGGAGATGTCTGGTCCAAAGAGAGGAGGAATGATACAAGAGGCATCAACTGTAAGGGAATGGATGAAAATGGTAAAAGCCAAGATTTTAGGTGGAGGCAGGATTGACATACCTGAAGGAATGAGTTTTCAAGAATCAGCCGAAGATATACTGTATAGAGTAGGAGATGGTGTGGCGGAAGCATTCCGCCTAGGCTTCATCTTGCGGAATAGTCTCAGCCAATGGTCCCCTTTCCCGGCAAGTCTTCCAGCGCTCTGCCAAGACGGGTATTAAAGCTCAAAGACAATCCTTCCCCGATATCCCAAACCACGAGTCGGAACTTCCTGTCGGGTGAATGAATGAATGCTTTATTGAACACAACTCTGGCACCTAGTTCCCCACCCACACCCAAAACTCTACAGTACAATACAGCAGTAATCAGCACAATATGAAATCTGGATAAGTGAAAGGCTACAAGTCCCCATTACCCAAGCAAACTGCAGAATGCCTGTCTACACAACAGCTGCTAAACATATACAGTTTTTTTTTTTTTTTTTTTTTTTTTTAAAAGGTAGAACGGGAATGCAACTGAAATGGAAAGAGCAAAATGTTATCACAAAGGGACGGTTCTTCACAGATGGCCATACAGGTTGGGATAAGGTGTTCCAGAGATTGGGAGAGGCTCTAAAGAAGCCCTTGAGGTGAGCATGAGTGGAGGGGACAAGGGCAGTGGAGAGCAGGTGGACCTGGAAGGAGATGGGAGAGAGGGATGGTTTAGGTGATGTTTTGAGAAGAGGATGGAGTTTGTAGCTCGGGACAGCTGTGGATGGCTTTAATGTTTTTGGTATTTCGAATTTTCAAATATTCATTGGGCGACCTAAAGCCAGTGGATGGACTGGCAGAGAGGGATGGTGGACACAGGATGGTTGGTAAGGTGGTTGAGTCATGATAGACCGAAGAGGGAATAGCCTGTGTAAAGGTAGACCAATGAGGACAAAGTTGCAATAGTGAAGGTGAGACACAAGGAAAAGAAATAGTAGCTCTGTAATATTGCTTGTTGAGAAGCAGCATGCTTTGGAAATGTGTTACAGAGCTTAAGGCAGCAATATTTGGACAGTGATTGGATTCAGGACTGAAAGCAGAGGTCGAAGATTACACATATCACCCTGGCATGTGGGGAGGGGATGATAGTTGTGCTAATGATCTTGATGGAGAAGTCAGGAGAAGGCATGGGCGGGGAGGACATTTTATGAGCTCAGTTTTGGAAATACTGAGTTTGAGAAAGTGGTGTGTAATCCATACTAATCTGTCAGTGAGTAAATCAGTGATGCAGGAGGAGAAATAAGGGGTGAACTCAGCTGTATGACGGTTGTGTTCACAAGTTTACATACTTCTGGCAGAATTTTCTAAATTTGAGCCAATTTTGCCTCATCGATGCAACAAAATCGCCCACTTCCAATACACCAAACAGCACTTAGAAAAACCTCAACACTTGTGGAACATAATCATATGGGGAGAAAAGAACAAAACTGATATTTATGGTCACAACCATACATGCTGTGTTTGGAGAAGCCTCAACAAGGTCTATGAAGAGAAACACAACATCCCTACTGTGAAGCATGATCCCAAGATAAATGTAGCATATTATTAGAAAGTATTACAGAGAAATTTGTATTTCAAGCTGCATGTGGGCTCACCTGAACTTTCAACATGAAACTGATTACCCAACATAAGGTCAAGTCAACCGTTCAGTGGCTGCTGCAGAAAGAAAAAGTGAAGGTTCTGAAGTAGCCATGGTAATCTCCTGACCTCAACATGATTGAACCACTTTAAGGAGATCTCAAACATGCAGCTCATGCTAGATAACCAATTTATGGGACCCTGAAGGCTTGGGCTTTTTAACATGACAATGACTGAAACATAAAGCCAAGTCGACCTTGTATTGGCCAGCAGCAGAAAAGGTGAAGGTTCTGGAGTAGCCATCTCAATCACCTGAGCTCATCATCATTGAGCCACTTCGAAGAGATCTCAAACATGCAGGTCATGATAGGCAATCAAAGAATTTACAAGTCCATGAAGGCTTGGGCTTTCCAACATGACAATGATCCAAAACATAAGGCCAAGTAGACTCTTCAATGACTGCAGCAGAAAAAAGTGAAGGTACTGGAGTAGCCATCACCCGGTGTAAAAATTTTGAAGATATCTCATACATGCAGGCCATGGGAGACAACCAAAGAATTTACAGGAACTGAAGGCTTGTACTTTCTGACATGACAATAATCTAAAACATAAGGCCAAGTCAACCTTTTATTGGCCAGCAGCAGAAAACGTAAAGGTTCTGGAGTAGCCATCACAATCACCTGAATTCAACATCTTTGAAACACTTTGAAGGGATTTCAAACATGTAGGCCATGATAGACAACCAAAGAATTTACAGGAACTGAAGGCTTGGGCTTTCCAACATGACAATGATCTAAAACATAAGGCCAAGTAGAACCTTCAATGACTGCAGCAGAAACCATTTGAAGGTCCTGGAGTATCTATCGCAATCTCCTAACCTCAGCCTTGCTGAGCCATTTTAAAGAGATCTCCAACTTGCAGTTCATGCTAGACCAGTGTTTTTTCAACCTTTTTTGTGCAAAGGCACACTTTTTTCATGAAAAAAATCACGAGGCACACCACCTCAATGCATAGTAATTCATCCCCCATATAGTAATTCATCCCCCATATAGTAATTCATCCCCCATAGTAATTCATCCCCCCTATAGTAATTCATCCCCCCTATAGTAATTCATCCCCCATAGTAATTCATCCCCCATATTAATTCATCCCCCATATTAAGTCCCCAAGCCCCCCTGTGTCAATTCACTTACCTTTGCTCCGCGCGTTCCTCTCGCCGTTCCGGTGTAGCATGAAAATCTGTCTCCTATGAGGATCTGTCCCCCTCGACGTATCTGCGCATGTGCCAGTTTCAGGCATTAGCAGCCGATCGGCGATCTCCGGCACATGCGCAGATACGTCGAGGGGGACAGATCATCCTGACAGTATCACGCTCCGCGGGCCAGATTAAAAGGTCCGCCCGGGCCGTATGCGGCCTGCGGGCCGTAGTTTGCCCATTGCTGTTCTAATGATTGGTCTATTTGTGAGCCGAGGCCACATGTTACGGATGAAATTGCAATTTTTCCCACAGCACACCAGACAATATCTCACGGCACACTAGTGTGCTGCGGCACAGTGGTTGAAAAACGCTGTGCTAGACAACCAAAGAATTTGGTTTCGGCCTACTTTGCTGTGCTTTGGGATGCCATTCTAAATTGGAACTGTGCAAAGTACATGTTGCCACAACTCAATAGAGCAAACCCAGACAAAGGTTTTTGTAGGTTCCACACTTGAAACTCACTCTATAGGATTGTATATAGTGATCTGAATCTGTAATGTTAACAGTGCCAACGGCCCTCAGCAATAAATAATGCACAAACCTTTAAATAAGCCAGATATCTCATAAATGATTGCCTTCATTTTATATGATCCACAGTAGTGGGATTGAATTGACAGTTACATAACAAAGTACACGTTATACCAGCCATTATCTGCCTGTTTGTTGAATGAGTGAGAATATAATGTACGGTATGCATGTTATTTTATTTAACTAGAGACTAAGGGATTTCAGTATAAACTATATGTTTGGTGTAGTTGTCTTTTTTAATAATATTTTTTTGGATTTCCAACTGCATATATCTGTCCAAAAGAAAAGGATGTAAAGCTAGTATCTGTGGGATTCATTAATATTTGTAATAAAACGTGATCTCAGCAGGAACGGCAACCTTACGGAATTCTAGAAATTAATACTGTATGTCAATTATATTTTTCTGTGAGAATAGATTCATGTATTCCATGTTGTCATAATTGCAGGATTTGTAGTTGTGCACCATGTAGTGCCCACCTAGTTATGGTTACTAGTAGGAATAAGGTAAATGTATGTTTTTTTGGGGGGGGGCGGAGGGGGGGGGGGGGTTGGCTCCTCTGTAGCCTGCAGAGCAAAATCTGATTGCTGGAGAGGTGTATGGAGGATATTACAGTGGGCGGTATGTACAGGAGAGGAGTTTGGAGGGTATGAGAGTGAGCGGTATGTACAGGAGAGGAGTGTGGAGGGTATGACAGTGGGCGGTATGTACAGGAGAGGAGTGCGGAGGGTATGACAGTGGGCGGTATGTACAGGAGAGGAGTGCGGAGGGTATGACAGCGGGCGGTATGTACAGGAGAGGAGTGCGGAGGGTATGGCGGTGGGAGGTATGTACAGGAGAGGAGTGTGGAGGTATGACAGTGGGCAGTATGTACAGGTGAGGAGTGTGGAGGGTATGACAGTGGGCAGTATGCACAGGAGAGGAGTGTGGAGGGTATGACAGTGATCAGTGTGTACAGGAGAGGAGTGCGGAGGGTATGACAGTGGGCAGTGTGTACAGGAGAGGAGTGCGGAGGGTATGACAGTGGGCAGTGTGTACAGGACAGGAGTGCGGAGGGTATGACAGTGATCAGTGGGTACAGGAGAGGAGTGCGGAGGGTATTATAGAGGGTAGCATGTACAGGAGAGGAGTGTGGAGGGTATGACAGTGATCAATGTGTACAGGAGAGGAGTGTGGAGGGTATGACAGCGGGCGGTGTGCGCAGGAGAGGAGTGCGGAGGGTACGACAGCGGGCGGTGTGCGCAGGAGAGGAGGGCGGAGGGTACGACAGCGGGCGGTATGCGCAGGAGAGGAGTGTAGGACAGCGGGCGGTATGTACAGAGGAGAGGAGTGCGGAGGGTATGACAGAGGTTGGAAAGTTTGGGACAGAACGTTCTGGAGATGAGTGTGGACGGTATGACAGCAGGCAGTACATGTAGGAAAGGAGTGTGAAGATAATCCTGTAATAGCAAAACGAAAATGTGACTTAAGCCTTTTCCTCAATTGCAACTGTTCTTTGAAATCTAAACTCCAGCTCAGGTATTAGATCATTAAGAATAAATACATTTTTCACTTTATTATATAGTTGTACTTTAGGTGTTTGTAGCTCCTGGAATATTCCAGTAAACGCTCATGGATTTCATTGCGTATCTGATACGTAGGTGTTAAGGTGAAACGTTGTGACTGCATTAATCTTACATGATCCAGAAAACAGTAGCAGTATTGAACTGGCAATTATTTTTTGCTGTACTGCTCTGATAAAAAAGAAACACAACACAAAACATACAACAATGTGTCACTAGCAGATGTTTGCAGATACAAAGGACCCAGCTGTGGCTTTAGAAATAATTTGTAAATGTGTTGACCTTATTTGTTGGTTGAACAAACATAAATTAGCACCTGAGTTGCTGAACATTCTGTTTAATTATGCAGAATCAGTGCCATGGATATAATTACATATGCGGCAATGGACATAGGAGTTACCCACAATGTGCAAGCAAACCTGGCCCCTTTGTACCCACTAAACTATTCCATCCAGGATTGGTGTATGGTATTTGCACATAAGAAAGCAGATATCAAGGAAATGTTAATCATGACCACTAGTGAGTAGTTAGCATTAATCCAACAGAAATAAAAGTCTTCATGAGCCAGCAGGCAATGCATATGTATATTGCAGACAACATGGAATACCAACTGACCATGCTTAAGTCCATCCATGGTTACATAATTTATTTTAAGATTCTGCGGCCCTAGATTGAATACTATATGGTCAAAAGACACCTGACCATGGGACCTATATGAGCTTCTTGAACATCCCATTCCAAAAACCATGGCCATTAATATGCAGTTGGTCCCCCCTTTGCTGCCATAACAGCCTCCAATCTTCTGTGAAAGCTTTCCACAAGAATTTGGAGTCTGTAAAAAGAACATTTGAGTGGTCAGGTACTGATGTTGGATGAGAAGACCAGACTCACAATCGTATTTCCAAGTCCTCTCAAAGGTGTTCAGTAGGGTTAAGTTCAGGTATTGAGGTTGAATGAGAACCCTGATCTCAAAGGTGTTCAGTAGAGTTGAGGCCAGGTATTGAGGTTGAATGGGAAGATCTGATCTCAAAGTTGTTTAGTAATGTTGATGTCAGGAATTGAGGTTGAATGGGAAGACCTGATCTCAAAGGAGTTCAGTAGGGTTGAGGTCAGGAATTGAGGTTGAATGAGAAGACATGATCTCAAAGGAGTTCAGTAGTGTTGAGGTCAGGTATTGAGGATGAATGAGAAGACCTGATCTCAAAGTTGTTCAGTAATGTTGATGTCAGGAATTGAGGTTGAATGGAAAGATCTGATCTCAAAGGAGTTCAGTAGGGTTGAGGTCAGGTATTGATGTTGAATGGGAAGATCCGATCTCAAAGGAGTTCAGTAGGGTTGAGGTCAGGTATTGATGTTGAATGGGAAGATCCGATCTCAAAGGAGTTCAGTAGGGTTGAGGTCAGGTATTGATGTTGAATGGGAAGATCCGATCTCAAAGGAGTTCAGTAGGGTTGAGGTCAGGTATTGATGTTGAATGGGAAGATCTTATCCAAAAGGAGTTCAATAGGGTTAATGTCAGGAATTGAGGTTGAATGGGAAGACCTGATCTCAAAGGAGTTCAGTAGGGTTGAGGTCAGGTATTGATGTTGAATGGGAAGATCTAATCTCAAAGGAGTTCAGTAGGGTTGAGATCAGGAATTGAGGTTGAATGGGAAGATCTGATCTCAAAGTTGTTCAGTAGGGTTGAGGTCAGGAATTGAGGTTGAATGAGAAGACATGATCTCAAAGGAGTTCAGTAGTGTTGAGGTCAGGTATTGAGGATGAATGAGAAGACCTGATCTCAAAGTTGTTCAGTAATGTTGATGTCAAAAATTGAGGTTGAATGGAAAGATCTGATCTCAAAGGAGTTCAGTAGGGTTGAGGTCAGGTATTGATGTTGAATGGGAAGATCCGATCTCAAAGGAGTTCAGTAGGGTTGAGGTCAGGTATTGATGTTGAATGGGAAGATCCGATCTCAAAGGAGTTCAGTAGGGTTGAGGTCAGGTATTGATGTTGAATGGGAAGATCTTATCCAAAATGAGTTCAATAGGGTTAATGTCAGGAATTGAGGTTGAATGAGAAGACCTGATCTGAAAAGAGTTCAGTAGGGTTGAGGTCAGGTATTGAGGATGAATGAGAAGACCTGATCCCAAAGGTGTTCCCTAAAGGTGTTCAGTAGAGTAAAAGGCCAGGGCTCTGTGCAGGACACTTGAGTTTCTTCACACCAAACTGGTCAAACATGTCTTTATAGAACTAGCCTTCCCCAGACTTGTCACACAGGGCTGGAAGCACCCATTTATTGAAAATGTGCCCAGATTCTGGACATTAAAGCAAGCAGTACAGGCACTTTGAAACAAATAAGCATTGTGAGGAAATTCATTTTCAGAGTTCTCAACACAGGCAGTGTGTTTTTCCATAAGACTTTAGAATATTGTCAGGCTCCACTTATGTAAACACTAGTGACAGGTGAATCTGCGTGCGTCTGAATCACAAAACACATTTGGCAAACACGTCCAAAAATTGTGAACTATATTACAACCCCACTGAAGTTAATAGGAGGCAAATTTTGAAAATCAATTCTATTCTGATGGCATCGGTTGCTAGGATGCAGGCGAATGCCAGCATCCTAGCTACCAAAGGGGGAGGTTGATACATGGAACTGAGGAGAAAGGGGTTGCAATTAGTGGCAGGTAGTAATATCGCCAGGAAATGTAGGACTTGCAGCAAACAGATAGGCAAACTAGTTCGCCATTTAAGTTTTTGAAAACTGTTAGAAACTGACTGAAACGTGACTTTAGAGTATTTTAGGTTCTTTGAGAAGAACTAACTTCACATCAAAAGCAACTAGAGGGCTCAGGGTGGGCTTGAGTTTAATTGATTAAAGTATAACTGAAGGTTATGCTTTTAAGGTTTTCGATAAGAGTGGAGAGGGATTAGAACACGTTAGGTTTTTATTGCCACCTGTGTCCTCATTAGGGCATTCAGCCCTCTCTATTTGTCCTGGTAACTGCTATCATCAACCGTAAAAGAAACTCCCAAACTGTGGGTTGTCACCAGAACTGGAATGGAGGGGAAATCTTCCACTGGGGACACTAGTTCTGGAGACGACCAGGTATTTCCTGTCTTTGGAGGGGTTTCCTCTCACTACCTGTCTTGGCTATTGGGACAGGAAGTGAAGGGAAATACCTCCAATGGGACACAGATGGCAAAAAAATACTGGCAGGGGGGATAACCCTCCCTTACTGTACCCAAAATGAAAAAAAATGGCCTTCAGTTTTAATGTCCATGGTCTGGGAACAGGTGCACTTTAACAGTTTCCTTCACCAAAAACACTTGAAGGGGACAAAAAATTGGACCTTGTCGTGGCATGTTTTCTGACCACCGTCACCATAGAACTAGGATGTCATCGATATCAGAGGTGCAAGATTTCAAAGGGATGGCTAAAAATGTACATATCAGTTTAAGGATTATTTTCTTTAAGTGACCCAGTTGGTATATAAAAATTATTCAAGCAAGTCATACCAAGATAAGTAGAATGTACACATTCATCTTAACTACTGCCTACATTGCCAATCTCCTCTGCAGTAACTGGAAATGTTCCTCTGAAGTCTCTAGTTAAAACCAGCACAGTGGCTAAATGGTTAGCACTTCCACCTGGCAGTACTCGGGTTGTCGGTTCAAATCCCAACCACGGCACTACCTGCCTGGAGTTTGCATGTTCTCCCTGTGCCTGCGTGGTTTCCTCCCATACTCCGGTTTCCTCCCACACTCCAAAGACATGCTGGTAGGTTAATTGGATCCTGTCTAAACTTTGGCCCTAGTATGTGTATGTATGAATGTACGTTAGGGACTTTAGATTGTACGCCCCTTGAGGGTTAGGGACTGATGTGAATGTACAATATGTATGTAAAAGCACTGCATAAATTTACGGCGCTATATAAGTACTTGAAATAAATAAAACCCAAACGTCTAGGAGTGTCGATCTCCTGGGTCCCCCACAGCTCTAACTGATTCCTTCTAATGACCTCCACCCATTATAGAAGGCAACAGTCACTGTAAGCATGCCTCATTTTACATAGGATCTCCTGTATCACAGAGCCATGCGTCAAAATGAGAAGCCAGGTCTCGCTGCTAAAACTGGCTAAATGGCTGTGGTGGTGAAGGAGGACCAGGAGGAGGAAAAGTGCCCCTTCATTGGTATCAGTAAGAAGAATAGTGCCAAACCATTGTTGTCAGTGTTTCATTGTTTGTATCAGTGGGAGAAATGATGCCCCAGCACTGGTATCAGTGGGAGGAATATTGCCCTATTATTGCATTATTGGTGTCAGTGGGGGGATTGGTACCCTATCATTTGTGTTAGAGGAAAGTACAGTGCATTATTGTTTGTGTTGGAGGAGAAATATTGCCCCTTCATTGGTGTTCATGGGAGGAATTTTGCCTCATTATTGGCATCAGTGGAACAAAAATTGTGCCCCATTGTTGGTGCCAGTGGAAGGAATAGTGCCCTATCTTTGGTGTCAGTGGGAGGAATAGCACCCTATTATTGGTGTCAGTGGGAGGAATAGTGACCCCATCATTGGTGTCAGTGGGGGGAATAGCTCCCCATCATTGCTGTCAGTGTGGGGGGTGGTATTGTGCCACATCATTGGATTCAGTGAGAGGAATAGTGCCCTGTCTTTGATGTCAACGGGAGGAATAGTGCCCCATCATTGGAGTCTATGGGAGGAATAGTGCCCCATCATTGGAGTCTATGGGAGGAATAGTGCCCCATCATTGGTGTCAGGGGAGTGCCCCATCATTGGTGTCAGGGGGAGGAATAGTGCCCCATCATTGGTGTCTATGGGAGGAATAGTGCCCCATCATTGGAGTTTATGGGAGCAATAGTGCCCCATCATTGGTGTCAGTGGGAGAAATAGTGCCCCATCATTGGTATCAGTGGGAGGAATAGTGCCCCATCGTTGGTTGTTAGTGGGGAGGAATAGTGCCCCATCATTGGTATCAGTGGGAGGAATAGTGCCCCATCATTGGTGTCAGTGGGAGGAATAGTGCCCCATCATTGGTTTCTATGGGAGGAATAGTGCCCCATCATTGGTGTCTATGGGAGGAATAGTGCCCCATCATTGGAGTCTATGGGAGGAATAGTGCCCCATCATTGGAGTTTATGGGAGGAATAGTGCCCCATCATTGGAGTCTATGGGAGGAATAGTGCCCCATCATTGGTGTCAGGGGGAGGAATAGTGCCCCATCATTGGTGTCTATGGGAGGAATAGTGCCCCATCATTGGAGTTTATGGGAGGAATAGTGCCCCATAATTGGTGTCAGTGGGAGAAATAGTGCCCCATCATTGGTATCAGTGGGAGGAATAGTGCCCCATCATTGGTTTCTATGGGAGGAATAGTGCTCCATCATTGGAGTTTATGGGAGGAATAGTGCCTCATCATTGGTGTCAGTGGGAGAAATAGTGCCCCATCATTGGTATCATTGGAGTGGGAGGAATAGTGCCCCATCGTTGGTTGTTAGTGGGGAGGAATAGTGCCCCATCATTGGTATCAGTGAGAGGAATAGTGCCCCATCATTGGTTTCTATGAGAGGAATAGTGCTCCATCATTGGAGTTTATGGGAGGAATAGTGCCCCATCGTTGGTTGTTAGTGGGGAGGAATAATGCCACAAATGAATGGGAGAAAAAGCGTTGAAAAGGCCCGGATAAAGGCAATCAAAGGATGACCGTTTGAAGACCACTGTTCTAGAGGGACAAAAAGATGGAACAAAGGTTGTGAGCTAAGCACAAAATATTTGGTGGTGTTTTTAGATCTATATAGTAAGCCTATCGGTAAATACAGATCTGCACAGCTTTGGGGAAAAAAAAAGAATGAGGGCATTTAGCTGTTTGCCTGGAGTTAAGATTTCATTTTTATCATTTTCAGTAATTATGAAGCTATTATACTACCCCACTGTCCCCTTTTGCAGGTCTTTATAGCTCCATGGACAGCTGGATGATTGTGCCCAATATCAAGCAGAACCATTACACTGTGCATGGGCTTCAGAGTGGAACTCGTTACATCTTTTTAGTCAAAGCAATCAACCAGGCTGGGAGCCGACATAGCGATCCGGCAAGACTCAAGACCAACAGTGAGTACATGTGGCTTTTACTTATTATTGCTCAACCCTCTCATGAACAGGGGTCACTGACGCTTGGATATCTAGACTAAATTCAATAGTATCAGTATGTGAAGGTTTACCTGACATTAACCCAATGACTAATTTGCACACCTAAACAGTTTTTATGGTATCCTTCCTCGGACATACACTATATGGCCAAAGGTTTGAGGACCCCTGACCATCACATCTGTATGAGCTTTTTGGACATCCAATTCCAAAACCGTGGGCATTAAGATGGCGTTGGAACTGCCTTTGAGGCTGTGCAACTCCTTGACACCAAACTGGTCAAACCATGTGTGACGGGAGTGACTTTTGGGGGTGGGGGGACCTCTGTATCATCTCCCCAAATCATTATGTTTAACCCACCCTGTGTGTATGTGAATGTCTGAGTCTTGTGTATAGTGTGTGTTCCTTTGTCTAGGCCACATGGCTGTCCATTGTCTGTTTGCCATGTGCTCCCCCCCCCCCCCCTTGTGCTGTGTCTTCCTGTCCAGCCAACTATTATGGGATGTACTGTTTGTGTATTGGTGTGGGGGTTGGTCAATGTCCTTTACCATGTGTTTCATCCCATTGTTCTGTGTCTGGGTGGGATGGGGCGGGTGATGATGTATTTCCTGTTCCTGGTTGTGTTTCCCCGCCCTCTGTATAAAAACATGTTGTTTGTGTAAAATAAAGAGTTGTTGGCTTCCTGTATTATGAAGAGCTGGGTATTGTCTGTTTCCTGAGGGATTTCAAGGGTGTGGTCCGTGGATGGTGTTCGGACAGGGGAAGTTGTGCTATAACGGAAAAACTCAGTGCGGTCTGGGTTCCGGTTCCGTTACTTTGGTGGCAAGCGGTGGGATTGTGCTTCCAACCTGTAAACACATCCAAACCATCACCGTGATCCAAGAGCAGGAGAGGAGAGACAGATACCACTCGCAGCTATGGAAACTGAGGTCTTATGGCGGATGCAGCAAGTGCTGGCTTATTTAGATGACCCGGTTTCTACATGGGAAGAGCGTGGATGGAGAAATACGTCTGTCCAACAGCTGGATGAGGGTGTGGAAGATGGAGCAGTCGGCACATCCCTCCAATTACAGAAACCATGTCTTTATGGAGCTGTATTCAGGGACACAGTCATGCTGGAACAGAAAAGGGTTTCCTCCAAACTGTTACCATTAGGTTGGAAGAGCACCACAGTCCAAAATGTCTTTGTATGTTGTAGCTGTACCCTTCACTGGAAACTCAGTAATTTGGAGGGGTGTCCACCATATAAACAGGCGTGATGTTCATATCAGGTGCCCACCAACATTTGTTCATGTAGTGTAATTTAGGGGTCAGTGTTGTCATACAGATTATATATTGTCCAGGCACCCCTTCGCTGCCCATTCATAGATGGCTTCTCTTCCTCCCAAGGACCCTCTCTGTTCCGCCATGATCTTCCCTTGCTCACAAAGCCAATCCTGTAAAGACATGGTTTGACTGCTTTGGTGTGGAGGAACTCAAGGGGCCTGCACAAAGCCCTGAACTCAACCCGAATGAACACCTTTGGGGTGAATTGGAATACTAATGGCGAGCCAGGTCTTCCCATCCAACAACAGTACTTGACCTCACAAATGGGGACAAATTCCCACAGACACTCCAAAATCTTGTGGAAAGCCTTCCTAGAAGATAGGAGGCTGTTATAGCCGCAATGGGGAGGCAACTCCTTAACCACTTGCCCTCCAGAGGATATACCCCCCCCTTCCTGACCAGGCCATTACCAGGCTGTACATAAATTGAATTTATGTTCTTTTTTTCACACAAATTGAGCTTTCTTTCGGTGGTATTTGATCGCCTGTGCGTTTTTTTATTTTTTGCGCTATAAACAAAAAATGACCGACAGTTTTGAATAACAAAACAATATTTTTGACTTTTTTCTATAAAACATATCCAGTAAAAAAATATTTTAAAAAATCTATTTTCTTCATAAATTTAGGCCAAAATTTATTCTGCTCCATGTCTTTGCTTAAAAAAAAAAAAAAAAATCCCAATACGTATAAATTAATTGGTTTTCGTGAAAGTTGCAGCGTCTACAAATGGTGGTATATACTGGTGGATTTGTAAAAAATTTTTTTTTAATGGCAGCGATCAATAACTTATAGCGGGACTGTTGTGGCCATTCTGATACTGTGGGGGGGGGGGGGGGACTGCCACTGACATCCCCAGTGACACCAATACAGTGATCAGTGCTAATAGAAAGTACGGAAACTGTACTAATGGCACTGGGCAGGAAGGGGTTAACATCTGGGGCGATCAAAGGGTTAACTGTGTGCTGTTTTACTAGGGAGACATGCTGCAGTGCAGAGAAATACACAGCAGCATGTCCTTGCTGGCTGGAGAGGATGTGTTGTTTACATACAGGCCCTCTCCCCTGTCAGTGATACACAGCGATCGCTGGGTGCCAGCGGAGAATCTCTGGCCGGGACCCGGTGATCGACATCTGTAGCCATCAGTGGCGGCATGGGTAGGGCAGCGCGCATGCCCGCTACCTGCGAATGCAAAATCATATATATAAATGTGTGTTTGTGATTTTGCGCAGCCCTGCCGCTCTGTAGCAGTAGTTCTGCTATAGAGTGGTAGGGAAGTGATTAATAATGCCCACGGTTTTAAAACTGAATGTCCAGCATGTGGCCATAGTGGGTCAATGACAGAATGAGCATCCAAATCCTTTGCGTATGTGCAGCTGCCAGATGGGAGATGCTTAGGACGCAGCCTGGGTTGGCTGAGGTGCAATCATGGGTTCTGCCAAACTGGGTTTGGACCAAGTTCAGACTGAACCCAGCTCATGCTTAGGCCGGCCATACATGGGTCGATTTTAATTTTTTCTTTTTTTTTTCCATTATATATTTTATTTTTTCTTTTACGAAAAAAATACCTTACAAAACCATCATAAATCTTTTTACATCATACATATAAACTTTATCCCCATACACACCCCTATCCAATCTCATCTTATCCTCTCTTTCCCCTCCTATTAATCTAGTCATATATATAGATCTCTTTAACCATTTAAATTCTCTGGTACTACTATGGGGGACCGTTCATTTTTAAGTATTTTTTTCTGAAGTTCCAAACTCATACCATTTACCCCAAATCTTTCTAAACTTTTCCATTTCATCTTTCTCCATGTAGCAAATTTCCTCCATCCTACTAACATATTCTACTCTGTCTATCCAATCCTTCATTGTTGGTGGATCCTGGGCCTTCCAAAACCTAGGAGTTAAACCCTTTGCCTCACCAATCAGATGATATAATAAACAGTTTTTATATTGTTTTACTGACAACTCTGTTCTATAGAAAATACATACCCATGGATCCTTCAGGATAGATGGGATGGGAGATGCCCAGGTCTCAGCATATTGGGTTGGCTGAGGTTCAATCATGGGTTCTGCCAAACTGGGTTTGGACCAAGTTCAGACTGAACCCAGCACATGCTTAGGCTGGCGATACATGGGTTGATTTTCTACCAACTTTTTGTTCGAAAATCATACCTAAGAACAATTGGCCGATTTTCACTCTGTTAGTGGGGCAATGGCACCGGCCGATTTTCATGGTTCCTCCCCATTTCGTTTATTGGGCTTG